AAAAAAAAAAAAAAAAAAAAAAAAAAAAAACAAGAGAAATCATATGAATGTTAAACTTACAAGATTTTAAAACAAATTATATATATCACATTATCATTATTTTTTATATGAAACTGTAAAACCGAATTTTTTCAATACTATCGTAGTTGGAGCATGAATGGTGTAATGGGCATGTTCGCATGAATGTAATTTACCTCATTTAGATTTAAAAAAAAAAAAAAGAGGAAAGAAAATTCTGCCGCATTTTTCTTTCGAAATTTTCTCATCCTCGAGCTTGTTTCCGTGATGAGATGCTAAAAGATAACTATACTCGTAAAAGCCGCAATTTTTCTAATGACCAAAGAGACAACAATTTTACTAAAACAAGTAACATAGCATCTGCGTGATGAAGTTATTATGTCTTTCAAACATCATCATTTCGAATGGAACATTTATAATACACGAATTAATATTCACGAGCACATGACACAAATGCTTGTAATTATAATGTTGTGTTTTTCAGGTATTTTTTTTAACATACCTATTTCAGGATTCGAATGATAAATATTAACCATTGAAAATAAAATTATTTTTTAATATTTTTCTAGTAACGAATTATCTTTACGTCATATTTCCAGGATGCTGACGACAAAAACTTCAGTAAATCGAAAAAACATCTAAACAAATTTTTGATTAAAATACAAGAACACGTTCTTATATAATTAATTTTCTGCAAATTAATTATGAAAAAAAATACTCAAGCATGTAATAATACATCAACGTATGAAACTCACTCAGCAAAATCACATTCGCCATCATAAAAAGAAAGAATATGGTAATAAAATTGAAACTTCAATAACGAGGTTACTTCATCTGAATATAAATTGGGAACTACCTAGAAAACGATTTAATGCCTGAATACAAACGATTCGAAGGGACATTGCTAAAAAAAAAAAAAAGAAAAAGAAAAAAGAAAAAAGACAGCTCGGTATCTTTCGACAGTTTCTCTCTACAAAGAATCGTAGAAGCTTGCTGTTTGTCGTCTATCTAAATTGAAACGGTTTGGTAGATGAATGCCAAGAGTAGTGTAACAAGTATTGCAAACGTGAATGAAAAAGAAAATGTACATCTGATTAATGTTGGTGAACAGTTGTGTTTGCAGCTGGATCAGAGCGATCTTCCGGCGCACCCGCTCAACCGGAGAGACCACCGCCCCCGCTTCCCCCGCCACGCTTTCCGAACAGCGGTGTCTGACAATGGGAAACAGCTCCTCTTAATATTGGTAATCTAGTGATCATGAACACGTCAATCCCACTGCCGCTACTGTTCACCACCAACAGCCTCACATTGGAGAATCAACTATACGAGATCATCACGGAGAGGAGCAAGGCCTGCGCGGCTTTCTTGCGGAATAGTTTACGTCGAGCAGTGAACGCGACCACTATCGGCTGGAGTGTCACGGAGAATTTCGAGAGTAACGTATCATGCAATCATGCTTGATCCGACGAACGAAGAGATTAAAAACGAAGATCACCTGTTGATTGTCCCCGGTATCCCCGGTATCGAATAGAACGAAGTCGATCGCGGATGCTTTAGCACGGAATTTAAACGAACCGGCTTAGTTCGGGTGTCGGGTTATTGTTGGCACGTGAAATTAACCTTCATACTGAATATGTATGGTTGAATATAGAGGAACGAAACACGATACGATTTCGCAGAACTTGCTAGTTACAATTTACCGAACAGAATAGAACGATAGTAAGTGAAAATGGGTGATCGAAATGTTAAATTGACTCGCCGAGGATTTTAGTAGGTGGATCTAACGCAGCGTTCGATATGACATGCGAGAGTCTTTGCCGAAACGTGAAACGACGAGGACGAGGTAACGAAGACCTTTCGAAAAAAAAAAATCTAACGAAATGTTGCGAAAGTGATTGTGCCTAGACATACATACGTTTGAAAGATAGAAAAAAAAGAGAGAAAAAAGAGAAAAAAAAGAAAAAGAAGTTGGATCGTGATCACTAAAAATAAAATGCATTTGAACTTCGTGCGACATCGAAGAATATAGAACATATAATTGCTAGATGCGACGAATCGTTTAACGAAACCCCAGAAGAAAAGGTGTATATCTATATATACATATACATATACATATATATATATATATATATACTTCACTTTTATATTGTTAATTTCATAGGATTTATTAGAATTATATGTCATTTTGTATCACTGTCGTCTTTATAAGTCGTTGCACTGTAATATGATTATGCGGTTATGTGTTTGTTGATAAATTGAATTCGATGAATTTTACGGCTGAAGTTAGGAACAAATTTCGGATCTGGAATCGACCAAATTATTATTTAGTCAGTATTGAATTGAAATACGGTTTATCGCGTTAACAGTCGCAGTATTTAAAAAACGTTAACTAAGATAACGTCGTTCTTATACGGTGCCTCATAAAAACAACATTTACAAGTCGATCAATCATTTTATCTTATAAAATTACGAGGGCATGGTGGTACAAACGAACGGGGTGTTGGTCATTGCGATAGTAAGCTTTGAATTACGCGCATGCGCTACTTCATTTCGATAACCAATTGTTTTAAAACTAAAATTAATAACACCAACACAAATTTTTTACGAGACAAAGATTAATATTAATACGAAATAAAAATTAAATTCAAAACAAGCTTTGACTAACAAATTTTAAATCATTAATTAAATCATTAGTGAAATGTCAAACCTTTTCGTTTGAACGGAAAAAAAGTTCTACGAAACCTCGTAGGCATGCCTTTTCTTACTACCTTTTGTCGTTTAATATTTTACAGCAAAATGCACGTCACGTTTGATATTATGCAAACTCTTTGGGAAAAGAAACTTCCCCTGTATGTATATACATGTATATACTGTATACTTCTATGGTACTTACCATAATGTCGTTGCATAAAAAGATGTATGATAATCCTATACTATTCAATATAGTATATTCAACTCCCTATTCAAAATAGTGTTACACGAAAATTAATTATATCGTTCGAGCGATATACGTATTCAAAGTCGATTGACACGAACATCTCAACCGATCGTTTTAATCGAACTGAGATAAACATTGACCGGATGCATTATACATATTATACTGTTTCAAGCGCCATCTCTTTGTTGTAGAACAAACAACTTTTAAAATTTTGTTTTCTCAAAGATTTCATTGGACGCTATTCATTGAATCTTAACCAATGACATAAAATGGCATAGTTTTTAATTACAGAAAAATCAAATGATTACTTTAAATTACTTTTTGTTCATTTTCGTATTTGTACGTAATACGGATTGGAATCTATAAATATGTAGATTATGTTCCTTTTTTAATTCTTACATACAAATTCAGAAATAGAAAAATAAGCACCGAAGAATATACTGACATCATTGGTAATGCCTCTTTCGCGTTAGCTTGTACACAAATTAAATAATCTCCAATCTGTTTGCTATTTAAATGTCGCGGTATACTCGCGATATGGTACCTAGAATAGAATGAAAAATGAATAAATAAATAAATAACATCGTGAGCAGTAAATTGTATGTTATAATTTAATGAAAAAAAAAAACAAAATAAAAGAAAAACTTTTAATTATAAGCTGTCCAAATCATACAGAATCAGTGAGAAAGGCAATAAAGCTATTAAACTGAAAATATGCTAAAGTAGATTTTCTTGCATTAGAGTATTGTCAGAATTCCAACTATTGATTATGAATACTTAGGCTAGAGATTATACATACATATATACATAGCTACTAGTTTATAGTAGCACATTGTAACGGGCTAATGATAACGATCGCTAACTTCGTTAATACGTCGTACATATATGTTGAACAGAAATGAATTGTACGTTTCCCACTCGTGTTATGGCTGTACAATAATCGCGAACCGAGTGCTGGTAGCATATCCATTTTTTAAAATCATTACAAGCTTAAACACGATAACTATACATAACCGTAGTTGCAATTACTTCGACTCAAACTAACTATGCATCTGAACGATGAGGTCGATGAGTCGAATTCGAAAGAAAATTCTGTATCGTGTTAGAAAAATTATTTTAGGATATACGAGAAGATTTTACTTTTCACGTCTTTGAAATTTGTTAAGCTATTTGTAAATTAGCGAGAGGAACTACCCGAAATCATTAGATGTGAACTCAAGTTTGACTGTGTTTATGAAATGTCAACTTATGATTTTCTTTGTTGTCCTATTGAGAAAAGGCATGCTGTGATATATGTTCACTGAACATTTCGAAGCAAACACAGAATTATCTAAAAAGAAACAAAAGATAATCTATGAACGATTTTTCTACTTTCGTTACAATGAAAATTACAATTAATGTCATTAGATAATTATAATAATGAAATGCAGTTATGCCACATGTATACATATGAATTCCGTAAAACACGAGACATTTCTCTTGTTTTTGAAGGTCTAAAGTAATTTGTAGGTGTTCAAAGTGCTTTCAAAGAAAAAGAAAAAAAAATACTTCGTATCAGAAAATTAATTTCACTATCATTCATTCACACGTAAAGATATAATAAATAACTCGTTTCTAAAACTGTATAATAATATAATAATAATATACATATAAATATATATATATACACATATATATATATACTTATATATGAATGACAACCTTTATGCGAGGACTTATTCCGCACTCATCACGATAACTTTGATAACAAAATCAATTATGATTGCATATATAGTTTCGAGTCAATGATATGATATTAAATTCATTGAGTATTGCAACATTTATAGAGCCTTAAAGAAAGATTTAAAAAAAAATTGGAACAGTCCAGCAAAGTGATCAGAATAACGATTTGTAAAATAAGTTCACTGCCACTTAAACGACTTGCACTCCACGAGGAGCGCCAATATTCCAAATGTGAATGTGTACAGTTATGTGAAAAGTACTTATAACGTAATTATATTTACATAATATTAATTAGAATTATGTAAAACTAAATAGCATGTAATAATATTAAGAATGATATACATACGTAGGATACAGATAAAAGAAAAAACCATCGATTGCAAAGCTATTATATTCCAGACAAGAAAAAATTTATGCCTGCTCATTTGTATATTATAAGTAAACCTTAACACGAAAAAGTTTCTCTGGTAGAAATTCTACTTATTGATATGATTCTTTTTTTCTATTTATTTCATAAATAAAAATTGTACTTTGTTTTATTTTATTTAAAATTTTGTCACGGATATTTAACAAAAAAAAAATTAATATTTAATTTTTAAAATATGTAAATTTTTAGTAGATTACAAACACAATATTTTATCTTTAATATTGTTAAATTAAACTTTAATTTTATATTTATTTATAGTATAAATATTTTTTAAGGAGAAACCGCTTCATATTTTCTAGAAAGATATTTTAATTGTTTTCAATTCATGCAATATTGTTTTAAGTTTGTATTATTGTATACGAACATATACTATAATATTGCAAACATGGTTTTATTTGCAACTGTATATATGCGTAGCAATTGTCTATAATATTTTAATTACTTATGATTAATGTATTAAGCTGAACAGATAAATTTAAGTGAAAAAAATCATATACAACATCTTTTAAAATCTACAAATAAAAATATTTACTAAGTAATATCAGTGTTTTTAATTACTTAGATAAGGAAAAATGTATACAAATCGCAGAGATTATTCTTTTTTAATGCAATTAAATATATTTTAGAAAAGATTATTTGTACAATTTGAAATTTTACTATGAACACTTATGGTTTACATTCCTGATGATAGGATTCCAAAGTTCGAAAATCTCTCCATGTTGGTGGTAAAGCACTATGTAAATGCAAACCACAACGCTTGCATGGATCACTAAATAAGTTATTTAAACTATGGAACCAAGTCTACAAAAATAACAAGATTTAGCAGATTTAATAAAATTTAAATCTTCGAATTATTCCTATTATTCCTATTATTTCCTTACCATAAATGATCTAACAGCTAATTCAGGTAATGTAGGAGAATAAAAATGTAACATTGCAGCATGAGCATTTTCTGTTACTTTTCTGAAAACTTTGTGTCTAGATTCTGTCCATAAATCCATAGTTTCTCCATAACCTTTAACTACAACCCATTCAATCATTAAACCTTTAAATGCTATGACTCCTTTCAAAACATGTCCTAGTGTAACATGTAATAATGCATTTGACGCAAATGGTCGAGATATAGATACTGTCATGTCATTAAAAAGTCTATCAAATGTGGCTATTAATGTGTCAACTTGTCTATAAAGGAAATAGAATACATATTAATCTTAACAATATTAATCAATAAGTTACAATTTAAACTATGTTACTCATGACTATATCATCAAAACAATTTAACTTACTGTTGAGGAACATTATGAGTACTTGTTTGAATTCTACCTCTTTTTGCTCTGCTAGTGCTATTATAAGATCTTTTCAAAGAATTCTGACTAAGTAACGCTTGAGCAACATTGCTGTATTCATGAACTTTATCTGTCCATTTGTAACTATTGACTAATGTACTATACAATGCTTGTCTTTCCTGTGTAGTTTCTTGACTAAGATATGTTGTACTTGCTAAATTAAATGGCCCTGGTGGTGGATTCAAACTGCTTACAGCTTGTTCAACATCTCTAGATACAAAAAACTGTTTAATATGATATATAAATAAGTAGTAAATATATCATTAAAAACTAAATACCTTAGATTGACATTGACTGTCGTTAAAAGTTCTTGCAATTCAAGCAAATATTTATTTTCTTTATTTTCTTCTCCATGATCAGCACGCAATCCGTTTCCTAAAGAGTCAAAAACTTGGCCAACACTTGAGCGCAATACCTTAATTGCTGTCAACGCAGTCTGCAGCTGTTCCATTTTTGCTATTAATATATAAAGTCATATGTAAACAGTACAAATAAGACAGCTTTTTATGTCTTTCAATATATATCTATATAAAAATAGAAAAACTTGTAAAGATCACAGAATTTTAAATTGCTTCCACTAACAACAATAACAACAAAATCACAGGAAATCTAATCTTTCAAAACATTATGCCACAAACAAAATATGTCATAGATGTACTGTTCAATGACAATCTATCATTTCAAGCTTTATCATCGATTTAGTATATAATAGAACAGAAAAGACAAGATTAGATCTAAAATACAATGTTCTTTCATTTCCCATTAATTTCTTATGGACATAATGTAATTTATAAGAAATTAATATTATTTGGACAAATGTTTTGATTTATTAAACAGAATTTCCAAATTTTTATACATGCATAATGAAATGGAACGTAAAAAGAAAGTTTAGTGTTTAATTTTGAGAACACAATTATAGAAATTGACAAATTAATCTGCTTAATTAGTTTTTTTTTACAAATAAGAATTTATCTATGTGCGCCGATTCATAGATAGCGCACTTAGATGGCAGCACTTTCTAAACAAAGATAACTATAATGTGTAACAAGGATAGTAATAGCAATTAGTTCTATCATTTCACCGCCATGTGGTGGTAGTGTTTTATTGACATTATTTTACACATTCGAATTCGATGTCATTTTTTTCTAATTTTTGAAAACTACTTTGTGACATTTTTCTATGTGATTCTTCTTTGAATAAGCCAATTTTATTTCCCGGAAATAGATATATATAAATAGATATAAATATAAATATATGACACATGTACTATACGAGATACTTGTGTATGACACGCATGCGCGAATAGTGATGACTATGACTGACATCAAATGGAGATTTAACACCGGAACAATACGGAAGCAACTGTCACTTGCTTGAATAATTTTAATGTGTCGTTTTGTAATTTAAAACGTGACATTAAAAAATGATGTCCGAAAGAGATTACGCGCCACTTAGTGCTGCTTGTGTACGTTCTCTTAATGACAAACTTTATGAGAAACGAAAAGCAGCTGCTTTAGAAGTAGAAAAGTAAGGTTATCTTGTTTACTATGTTCCCATTTTTACTTATTTACAATATTATTCATTCTTGACATTTATT